CACCACCACCACCACCACCACCACCACCACCACCACCACCACCACCACCAAGACCACTCGATTCCCCAAGCGATCCGTGCACCGATTCCCTGTCCAACTGCCTCCCGACCGCCATTAACAATAAGTCTTAAAAATCGTCACGGTGGCCCACATAATTAGGGCTTAATTAGAGAGGCATTGTGATGATGCCATTGAAAAGTACTTTTGCAAGAGAATACTTCATGGTGGTAAAAATGGTATTCCACGTGTGCGCCAGCAGCTGTCAATGGCCACAGGGAATTAGCTTCGCACTTTTAGCACGATGTTGACAAAGGCTTCTTTGTACGAACTACCAGAAATTTATGATGTTCACTTGGCCCTGATGAGATGATAATCACGTTTGACATTAAGGTTTAATTCCGGTTTTTTTTGGCACATAAATCTCAGAAGTGCTATTTCCCATTCTCATGCTTTGCGCATGGCAGATGACGCTTAGACCCAACGCTTTCGCCACCTCGTTCATCTGTTTATAAAGACTTGTCCTTTTAAACTATTCACAGACAAAACATTTACTAAGTTTTCAAAATTTAGCGCCTTTACAATGAAAACAAAGGTAACGAACACAGGCAATATTTGAAAGCATTCCTTCTCTATTTGCGATAAATTCTGAGTTATTGATTTTTATCACAAAATATTGCTTTTAGTCTCATTATCAGCACCATTTAGAACTAGACAATCAGGTATTCATATAGAAACCAATGTCAGAGTTGGTCATCTTTCTACATCCTTCCTATGTGGAGAACGTTGTTAACTCATGAAGATCACTTACTGTTCACGAATTAAGCGCCCATTTGAAGCTCAAGAATTACACAAATAATCTACGTTTCCAACAATTTGGAAGGTTAAAAAAACAGTCACGCCATTTTTTCACCTGTCTCCTCTTTACCGATGACATATAGGTCACAGTTTTTTGGTCAATCCTTTAATTACTGCCAGCCAAACATAAGTTGAGACTTTGTTGTGCAGCGACACATTTGGCCTCTTAAATTGATGTTTCCATTCATACAGTGCCTTAAAAGTTAAAACGTACTAGTTTGAATGGCAACGAATCCACGATTTCCACTAAGAAATTTTCCGTTGAAATGTTCCTTCGTCCCTTATCATTGACAAATTCACTAAATATCACTGATTCACGGAGGCACCAACCTTACACAAAATCATCTTTTGAGACTACAAATCGGAGGTAAGTGCAGCTAAAGTAATGATAGGTATCACCTTACAGTAAAGTTTTAGGTAGTGGAGTTCTTTATACTTCGATTTTGGATGCCATGGTGAAAATTATGCTTGGAGCAATAACATTTCGGTTTATTCTTGTCCGAGTTCATTAGCTCGGTATGTAAATGCATGTTTACTATACTGCCAGATTTTAAAAGCTACTTCCTTAACTTAAGACAAAAGTGACCTTTTTTAATGATACATCTCAGTCTGCGGACATGACCGTTAATAATCTAGATCTATTTGCATTCCAGTTCGACCAAGCTTTGTGCATATGATGATATGTTAGCTTAAAATTGAAAGATTATTTCAAATATTATCACAATTACCCAAAATGATTGTCTTGGGCTACAAAGGCCGTTTGTAAAAACATTTAAATGTATCATTTTTCTTCAAAGAATCTGAAACTTAAATTACTTATAAGGACGGTTTACAGTTAGCTTTCGAGTCAGGGGGTCAAGATCTTTTTACGTTTTCGATTTGGCTATTTCATGTTTATGTTTAATGTTTACTTGCTCGATCGTCATATTGTGTAGACTAATTGCAGCTCGCTTACTATAGCTATATGTTTAAGAATAAAATTTGGTGCAACAAGTGCCATGAAATTGTATCTATGAACACATTTCTATTCAACGTCAAGAACAATGCTGACGACGACAACACAAAAGATTTATTTGTTATGATCCAAACCTGCATTTGGCAACCAGCTTAATAGTTTTTCAAAAATATTGATAATATTTTACTTCGGTACAACGCTTTTTTATTATTGTGACGAGTTTCCACTACATTTATGCATTACCTCAAATTGCTATCAGTGATTTACTATTCCTGGATTATGTCACAAAATTTTAACTTGATAGCAGAATTCATTTTAAAAGCTCTATTAGTTGAATGATCGCATGAGGCTGTGTACATGATTTTTTTGAAACCGAAGCAACTGTGAAAACAGGGGAAAACTAATACGTTAAGCTTTCTTGCTTATACAATTAATGCAAATGCTAATGCATAAGCAAAACCATGAATAATAATAGGTCTAAAATTATGGAAAAAATAATTTTTTAATTCAAGTCCTGTTTATGAAAACTCTTGTTTTAATATGCTGCTGTGTTGAAATAAATCAAGAACTGCCTGCAGCGTTAGTTGGCGTTTTTTCAACTTTGCAGTCGCGGGCGATGAGTCTGGATGGTCCTGAGGTTTCGGAAGTATCTCGTGATATCCCTGTACCGCCACTTTCTGGTATTAATAATGGAACTCAAGCCACAAGCATAAGTGAGATTTATTTTGCATAATAACAACTGCAATTTTCATTAGCCACGAGACGTCATAAGAAAAAAAGAAAATTCTTGTCTGACATGAAATCATCAGCATTGAGAAGCGAACGAAGACGATCGTATAAAATTTTAGAAGAGGTTCTTTATGCCAAGCAGCAGGCTCTAAACGATCAACAGTGCCGGCTTGATTATCTGCAGAACAAGATGTGCATCCTGCAGGCAGATAATCGTTTTCTTAAAGAAAAAGGAAATGTTCAAGCTGCTATCATCGAAAGGGTTTGTATTTTTCAGATGTTAGCTGAATGCGTTTGTGCATCATGTGGTAATTTAGCATCTTGTTCTCCTGCTTCAGAATCTCAGGAATTTACATACAAGTCGAAACATGACCAGAAACTACTTAGATTGTTTGGTGGCATTTTCATATTTTAATTTGCTTTTTGGGTGCCATCATTTGTTTAGGCGTGTAAAATCTAGGTTGGTCTTCGTTTCAACTCAATCAAATTAAAATCTTCAAGAGCAATTTAATGTGATTTTCATTGAGATTTAACTTCTAACACAACCAAGGCCAGATGCGAGATTTGTATTGTCTTTAACTGTAATAATAATGGATTGCTAACCATGAGTTTTCATTGCCAATTTTAAAATCAAATGTTACAGCTTAACTTACATTTTGTACTAGTCACTTTTGTATTTTAGTTGGACGGCAAAAATGCAAAAGTGCCAATGCTTATTAGCAGTCAAATGGAGGAGGTACGGGCCTATCGAGAACAATTAAAGCGTCTGAAAGAAGTGTTTGTTCGCACAAATAAGGCTATGCAGGAGTCAGAAAATGCCCGCTACAAGGCTGAGGAGGAGCTACAGCATCTTCGAAACCTCGCATTTGAACAAAACCTACCTGAGCGCGAAGAATTAATTGCTGCTGTCGAGAATTTGAAGGCAGATTTAGAATGTGTTGAAAAAGAGAAAATGGTGTGATTTTTTTCCGATTTGTAAATACCTTTCTGATGCATTGCCATTTTAAATCCACAGTTACTTTTACTACTGTTTTAATACAATTGTATTCATTGGTAAGATCGGTGTTACTATAAGCCAGCCACATCGCGCTCAATTAACCACTGTTGTCTGATTTATTTGCAGTGACTGAAAATCAATTTCCTTTAAATTTGACATCATATCATTTGCCTTTTGCTGATCTTAAATTTTTTGCTTTATGTAAATTGTAAACTTAGAACATTTGTGCGTAGACAACATATCCATTAGAGGCCGTTTTGTGCGTTTTTTGCTCTTTAGAACTAGCATACATAACAAGAAGTTATTAACACAAATAATTACTACGATTTTATTTACCTGGTAACACCTAGGCCTTGGAAAAATACGTTTATAACCTGGAGAAGAACCAGAAATGTGAACGCGCCAGACTGCTTAGGATACAGAAGGAACTACAAGCAAACTGTTCAGATCTTACTTCAACGGTCCACGACTTGCAACTCAATCTGCAGGAGAAACAGAAGATGCTGGACGTGCAAACAATGCACATTCAGCGAATCAAGGGACATGCAACACGCAACAGCGTGGGCACTTTAACTGATATCGTAGGTGAAATCCCTACAGGACTGTCAGATCACGAGGCAACTGTTTATTGTAAACAGGGGTCCTTGTTTGAGTCAATGCCTCCACCTCATCTACCCAAAGCTAATATTGTAGCCAAATCAGGCAGAAAGGAGTCGTCGAAGAACGAAGTTTCTCCAAAGCAGAAAGCAACTCACACGGAGGTGACCTAACTTTAATGTTTACCACATTACTAACTAATGTTTTTTATTAGCAGTTTAGCACAAAGAAAGAGCCTCCATCAAATAAGCAAATACTATTGTTTTCCTTGAATATTTGTTATCTTTTTGGTAATTGCATGATTCTGTGCTCATGGAGCTGGAAACCAAACCAGTCGTGATTTTAGATCAACGTTACTAGTAAATATTTAACTACTCAAAGCGTTTTGCAAGATTCGAATTCCAAGCTACGTAGGGATGTTATTACTGCATTCTCAAACTATGCTTTAGTTATTCTTCATGAGTTACTTGACACGTCTTATGGGAAGAAAGATTTCTTTTTGATTTGCCGATCATCGCTCCTTTCTCTGCTTGCAAGGTTAATTTTTTCAGTTGTCGATAGAAGACCTCTAACCTAATCATTTCTTTACTTAATAGCAGCTCAAGCTACCCATCGTCCTTGTAACTCGACCTTCTCCATTGTTTGATATTTTTGATGCGATTTTCGTTTTCTTGCCAACTCTTCACACCTTAGTTATAGCCACTTTTAATTGATGTTAATGTGACCAATCCTTGTCATTATTACTGCCCAATTGCGTTTAAGATGCATATCATAAATTGTGATTGGTTATGGTCGTGGAATTTCTTTCAACTCGAGAGAAGACCAAATGTTGAAGTTCTTAACTTCGGGACAGTTAAAGTTACTGTCTGCTGTTGCGTGTTTGTGATATTTTAACTTCTTTGCAATATCTCGATCATTAAATACCTCTCTGTAAGCTTCAGTCATTTCATTGACTTTACAGGATTTAACAAGTAAAATGTGGTCCTAAATTGCATATGCTTGGCTTCTCAAAGTAATGAAAATGTGAGAACTAAGGGGTTTTACCGAACAGCAGCTATAGCATGGACAATAAATCGCTATTGGCGGCAAATAAAAATACTATTGGTGGCATTGAATCGCCATTCGGTGGGATAAAACGATTATCCTTTAACGGGCGCTTAAACTCATGAATATGGTAGCACCAGAATGTCTGTTATGCATGAGTAGCTCTGACTCTCTACTAAAATAATTACAATGAGTCCGTTGTCTCTATTGGACCAACGTTCCACACGATTTATTTTACCCCTCATGTAAAACTTTGGCATCTATTACTAGAAAGGAGTTCATTTTTCTGCGACAGCACAGTAAGTAACGACGGGATTTTTATTACTAGCTTAGCTGGTCGGAAGTGTCAATAAGACTCGACTACTCTAGTTATCAGTAGCAAGGACTGCCGTTAACTATTAGTCCTCCACGGGCAAAATCTTTTAGTCGTTTGCATGTAGCTCCTTGCTCAGCTGGTGCCACTAATTAAGCACCAAGGTTTATTGCAGAAGTGGCTTTAGAAACTTGAATTTCTATCTGTGGATTAACCCTCCTTTTAGGTGGATACACAGGCCAAACCCGTAAAACCGGCTGTGACGAAGACGGAGCCGACTGAGACCGCAGCCCCACAGCCTTCTGGAACACGCTGCATGGCTCGCAAGAAGGCAGAACCCTCGGACAATTCCTCACGCCCTGTGACATCGCGTAAGGGCCAAGTGCGCTGCGCACCGACCAACGCTTCTTCCCGTCCAGCGACCACCGATTTGCCCAACTTCGTGTCTAGTGTTGCCGGTCTAATTGACAGGTATGCCAGATGTGTCTAGTTCAACATTTTGGAATCTAACTCACGCACATTCGTGCATCAGGTCTTCCAGTCTTATGCAAACGAAAATTCCGGTTATGACCACGTCAAGTTCATGTCATATTCTCACTAATGAAGCGACTTGGACCACTGCAAAGTGTTTCGAGTAAGTGGCTCCAAGTTGACTTTTAGTACACACAAATTTGGTTGTTAACAGTTAACCTACCCATGCTACTTAAATGCGATATTAGTGCGCATTTTAGCCCAATTTAAACTGTCTTTTAATAATGTATTTGATCGGACCGTATGTTTCACAATTCTTCAATTATCATCTCTCGTTTACTTCTCTACCTTCGTCCTACTTATTTACCTAATTTAGTAGTTTCGAGGACCGACGAGGACAAAGTCTGGACTCGTCAGACCACAGAGACTTCACTTTCGCGGTGTTACAGGCAAGCGAGAACCTGGCTCGTCTTGTTGCAAGGGCCAAAATTCCAGAAGAGACTGCACCCCACATGAACGTAAGCCATTAGAGGCTGGTCCGAGATTGCATCTGACCCAATAGTACACCTAGAACTTTTAACTCTACGTTTAAGAAATACTATTTGAGTAAAAAATTTCAATAGCCGGATTGTGGCTCGTTAGTTCCCTTTCATGTTTGATTGGTTGACTTCTAAAGTTAAATGATTTAATCCACATAAGTAGTTTAATTAAAACCATGCCCATTGGTCCTCACACTATCCTAGCAAAACTATCCTTTCAACTGTGATTTCCTGATGAAATTTCGACTTGTTCCCTGAAAAAAAGTGATGCCATTTAAGATTTCGTTTTGCTAATTTGGTTTAGTTAGATAAATCTGGGATGGTCTAAGGTATTTGTTTTGCACCAAAGCGGATTATTTTTCATTAATTCGATTCGCGCTCACCTTTTAGTAAATATTGTAAATTAAATCCCTCAATACATGCTTCTTTCATTCCCAATGTGATCGAGGGTTCTGTGTATACCCGTAGGATTGATCTTTCAATTAACTAGTCCACCACAACCTGACCACGGCAATCACTGCTGAGTAGCCCACTTAGCACGTGGTGATAAGCACATCCATTTGCTGAAGGCAATCATTGGTTAAGAAGGCGTGAGTGTGCGTATACGGCATGACTGCCAATCAATTTCTTTCAAACCAACCCGATTCTACGCCCCTACGTAAACTGAACTCTGAGTTTCTAGACTGAAAAAAATAAAGCAAGTTTACGACTCTTAGAAGAGAACGCCTCTGCGTGGGTTTACTGTTTGTACCTAATTTGTAAATTCGTGCTCCTCTGCAGACTGATGAACCGAGGAATTCTCATGAAAATGGGTCAGAGGTGGCGGAAGAGCAGGGTTGTAAAGAAAACCATTTTACAACGGTTGTGAACCCACAGGCCTACGAGGACTGGCCAGAGTTTGAGGTGGTGGAACCTCTCAGACATCAGGCAATGCCGAAACCAGTCCAAGTGAAAAACGAGATCCAAGCGGTTGCTGCTCGCGGCGACTCCCCAGATGTAAGCACCACTGACATTTTATACACCTTTCATCGCCGTTCAAATTCGGCTGTCAGGTAATGTTAACGTTTTTGTCTCAGAAGCCTTTATTCAAGAGTTGTAAATTTGCCAACAGACTGCCAATGGAGGTAAACCTTCTGATGTAATTTAGACAAAAGCTGTAAACATTTGGATCGTGCATTAAAAAAGGCCGGTCAGTTCGGACTTTGTGCCCAATTCTAGGTCTCGGAACTCTTGCAAAAGATGCCAGGTCCTTCGAAGTGTCAGGTTTCGAACGCGCCAAAGCCGTCTACCGTCGTCACTAATTTTATTCGCGAAGTCTTTCGTGCGGAATCGGGCGAGGCAAGTGAACAAAACGAATACGAGCCACAACTAGGCATCCCTCAACCCGAACGAACCTCCTCCAGGTCTTCTGGAGGCGCGTCGCGGCTCAACCGGAGTGCGCCACAAGAACACACCGCTGGGGTGAAAAAGAGGTCAATTCAAACGAATCGAAGCTGTCACCATCCAGTGTCGACCGTTAGCAAACCTAAAACAGATCAAGACGGTAACCATCGAGCTTTGAAGAAATCGCCGAAGGCTCAACAAAGTGCACGAATTAGTAGAAAAGTGCCTCCAGTTTGGCCAAAGGTGAGGAGAAATGCGATATCGGCCATTCTATCGATAGCATTCCCATTTCCCGTGGAGGAACCATGTTTGTTGCTAGGGTTTTTCTTCCTTTTATGAAAAGTGCAATTCGTAAAAAATAATTTTACATTTTGCTTTTGGATCAAGACAAATAATGTGATATTAAACCGTGGTTGCTTAAAATACAGGAAATATTTTCGGTCACATTGAGAAATCTGTACTCTTTCTTGACTCCAAACATCCGTATTTCGATTCAAGTATTCCAGCATTGTTCTGTAGTACTACTGTCAAGTTGAATCACGTCCCATTTAGATAATTGATCGCACATAATGGACGAATGCGGTGTCACCATTACCCAACCTAAGAATGCATCACTTAATGGCCACCCATTCGGAATCTTCGGTGCCGTTTAGGCACACGTAACGGTTTGGATCATTATGTGAGCATTGTCCTCCAAAATTGACTTAAACCGAGACTGATTTAAAGTCCCTTAATGTGGGACTTATTCCTTTAATGACTCAAAATTATCCACGAAGGTTTTAGCGAATGCCAATGTCTCCATTCGTCTTGCTATTGACACAATACTACATTTGTAGAATGTCTTTACGGTGGAAGACTCGAATCCTTTCCTGTTGAGATCTTTTATGTCACCTGAAAAAAGACTGACCAAAAATGCCATAAAATTGGAGAGGGAGGGGCTAGAAACAGCAAGAAAAGAAACATTTCACTACCAAGTTACTGATAGGTTGCCATATGCATCTACACCAATTTCGATTGTGAGAGGCGTCCGAATGGCTGTTTTTCGAAATGCTACCAATTCGCACAATTCTCGTAACAAAATATCAATTCACATAACGTGGCACTTAGCCTGTTTGCGGATAGATTTCAGTACCCAATCAAATGACTTGGGAGTTTTCCTATAGATAATAAGGTATATTTAGATCCATATATGGAGGAAATGTAATGCGCGTCATTTTTTTTGTCAGTTCTAAATGATTACTTCGCTTTCGGTGGCATCAGTTTAGTAAAAAAAGGATGTGAAGTCAATGAACCAAGGTGTATGAGCTGGTGAAACGTCGTCCTGGAACTTCGAAGCTGAACCAAGTTTTCTACAACTTTCCAAATGTCCGTTTGCATTGCGTGAAGTAGTTAGGCTCGAGGGGATACGGTTAGTCTGCAGGCTCCAATTAACACAGATACGCAGCTCGTAGGTACGTGGATTGTAGAGCCTTCAAGTAACGGAGTATAAGCTTGTCGGTCGTGCGTAAAAACAAGCTTGCAACTTTGAGAGAAATATATGCCCAATCAAATCTTTCTCTCCTTGTCTCATACCTCACGTTAACTCTGATTCTTAAACAATCCTGCAACCGACTTTGTCCTGTGTGTTGTGACAACTGATCTATCGGCGTGTGTAATGATTTCAGTCGATCATTTCAGTCTGTCACACTGGTTGGGTGAATCATTCCCAAAATAAACTCCCATGCATTTTCTGCCTTAGTATCAGACTCCGCGGTCCCTGCTATATCGACTTGTAACAACCGAAAAGGACTTCTTCATGCCCAGTCAGGAAGACAGCAACAATACAAACAGCAGCACCTCGTCAGCGGCCCAAGCAGGCACTCGCCTCGCCTCCACTCTCTTCCAAAGTCACCTCAAGCCCATCTCACCGAACCCCGGCAACGCAGCCTCGTCTCAGTCAGCCAAACAAACGGTCAGAATTGAGGTCTTTCTTCCTGTGGCCACGACAGTACAACTACTTCGGAGTGAATGCTTTAGTTATACTTCGAAGTGATTTGAGCAGCACCGGTTAGCTAGGTGTTATGATTGAGCACTCTGAAGAGGGGTTTAAGGTATCATAGCCAATCAGTGTCTAGGGATCAATTTCTGGTACATGGTAGCAAATTCAAGACAACATTAGGCATAACTAAAATTTTGTGGCTATACGTTACCGCCTGCATACAGTCAATGAACATGTGTACCTGACACAGGTTATTCTATGTAGGTGGCTACAACCTAATGGAAATCTGGTGGTTGAATGGCCTTTTCATTGCTCACTTTCAGACGAGAACGGCTGTCCTGCCTGAGATCCCACGCAAGAATGGAAGCGATGACAAGTAAAAGGAAAGCGATAGAACGTACACACAGATACAAGTAAGAAAAATATCTAAGGTAAGTACTCTATGTACCTAGCTTTGTGCGTCCATGTCTCTGGTCTGACTCCGTAGTGATTAGTAGATAAACGTTTTTGGATGCCAACGCGAAAACAAGCAGTAGGTTAACAGTGACTGGTTTTGTGAGTTCGCACGTTCCGGTTCTTCTATTGTGAAGAACGATGGCCAGAAGGTTGACGAATATGCAGAATTCTAAAAAATATTGATCGAGGAGGTGTCAGGGCAGTTGGCACCCTCATCAGCTTGAGGCGGTACAATCCTCAGAGAGGAGAGGCAATTTTCATTGGTTGTCGACAAAATTTTCCCGGGTACACCCTCTCACTGTTTGCAAAAAAGCCTCCAGCAAACGTCGAAACTCGTGCACTGAAAATTGGCCCAAAATCAACTCGATCGCACGTAATAATATGTTGAAGTTCATTGCTGATGAAGTTGTGAAGGCATCATTTACTGTGAACTTCTCGCGACAAATAGGATAGTCGAGACAGAACTCTACGTTCGAAGAGCACGTTGAATTAACTTAAAGACGCTTGTGTGTCCCTTTTCAACACGATAAAGCCCGCCCTCATTTCACCGATTCGACAAAATCTGCAATCTAAACACTATACTGGAGAGTCCTAGCAAATCCTCCGTATTTGTCAGCCTTGCCTCCATTGGATTTTACCTTTTTCTAACACCTGTCAATAATTCGCATGAACATCCATTCAATACTAACACGGAATCGAAAACATGGGGATTTCCATGACAGAGGCATCGAAATCTTTGTTGAGTGTTGGAAATAAATTGCAAATAACGGCGGAGACTGTACTATCGACCAAATTTCATTTCGGATCCATTAATATCGGAGTTTTTCCTATGCATTTACTGGCATTTTTAATGAGATTGCATTGATGTGTTTCTCAACCAAATAGACTTGACTGACCATTTTATTAAATGCACTTACTGAGTGCCCGACTTTTGAGGCGATGTTTAAACCACTAAACAGTCTATTGGGCAGTAAAAAATGTGAACGATGTGAATTTGGACGCAGTTGTTTCGACGCAAACAGGATTTTAGAGGGTGGATTTTTTATACAACCCAGAAATTTATAGTTTTAACAAAATTATCAAGGCGTTGACAGTGTCGTATGTTCTTGAAGCTGACTACAGACGTAACTGGATAAAGCAGCGCTTTAGTTATTTTAGGTGTCGATTCAATGTTGCACTCATTGATGTAGAAAACATGTGCGTTTTGCCCTAGAATAAGTTCAAATTTGGAACTTTTTTGAGCAGTCCAAACGCGCTTGAAACGATTTTGCATTTTGTTTAATCAATTTTGGCAAAGCTGAGTTAAAATTATGCCACTTTCAAAGGGGAACAAGCCGCCTTCCTCGCCGCAATTGAGCATTCGTTGGGGTTGTGTGAACCGGGCTGTAACGCCACTGTGTTGCACGCTTGGCGAATATGCCGCGCCACCCAGCCGGTCTCCATTAAAGCAAATAAAAAGTCTGCCCGGCAGGATTAAGCCTGCCAGCCTGCTCAGGTTTTTCGTTGTACAAACCACGGCCGGGTGTTGTAAATGTAAGATTCCTCTTTCCTTGCATTTTAGGCGAAGAGTTTTAAGGCAAGGAGCTAAGTAGTACGTCAAGTCGAGGAAAAGTTGGCAAGCCTAGAGTTACTGCATGCTTTTTCTACGCAAGCCCCGACCGACAGGACTAAGTGTCGACGACCGTCCGCCCACCCACGCAACAAGGCGGTTATTTCTACTTTTATTTACGCTCATACGGAAATAAAGGTAGCTAGTAGGCCTTACTGCCTTTTGAGCTGACAAACTTGCACCTCACATGACCGCACAAAGCAAGCCGGCAGTTTCATACTACCGGACACGTGATGGTAACTCCAGCTGTCTGCATTCTGAAATGAATACGAGGATTTCCATGGGGTTTATGCGGGGAACATATTTCTGAAAGCTGATGGCTTTTTCGCCTGCTAATATCAAATTTTTAATTGGCTTGTTCATTACCAAGATGCACAAAGACGGCGTCCACTAATCTGATTAGGTGTGGTAAGGGGATGGAAAATATTGACTGCTGAAAGACGTAATTCGGCTAACCGTGAGAAAGTGGGGCGTTGAAAACCCAGAAACGCTTTACTCTCGTTTGAATAGAGGTCAGGTGGTGGGATTTGGTAGTTAGTAGTTGTGGTTATTCACAAGCGACGCATTTGATGAATGTGGGGAAGCAGATACGTAAAAAATTCGGCAGGAATATGTGGACCCGAGATTGTGAAACTAACACCACAATTACAGATGAATGCATTTATGTTGCTCGATCACAAGTCGACAGACAGCGCCAGTTCCAGGCGATATGGAAGGCTTTGGCTAATCGATAAGAACAATTCACTAAAGGAGAATTTCAAAGTCCTTTGTGAGGGTTTGCAGCGTGAAGCTTTGTCATGGCTCGTTCAGAAAACAACCCGAAAGCAAACGGCTTGCGCAGATTTGTTTTTTTTAAAATGGTTTAAGTGCTTTGACTCAGTTCAACCAGTTCCTGGTGGGACTCGGGTCCAAGGATGCAATTCCGGGTGATTCGCGACCGTGAATTCCACGTGGTACTGGGAAAACCTTGGTCAGGTAAAGAATAGGCTGCTTTTAACCGCACATGGCAGCAATAAGAGCTTAAATTTGGTTGAGTGAATACTAAACTAAACCAGTTGGCATCTAAGAAAGTGATACAAGAGGATGAAGGGTTTGAATGTATTTTCAGTACCAGTTGAAAGCTAGAACAACAAACGCGAAGGAAATAGCTTCGTCCGCATGCAATACTTTCCCCTGGGCTTTCTTTACTTCCCTCAAAAACCAACCGCATAGGGACTGCAATCCATGATCCACCTTACTAATGACAATTTAAACCAACGTATCACAAAATTCATCTGTTTTTGTGGTAAAATATGCTGTAATTCACGCCATGTCGAGTGAACCCGAGTGGGTCGCGAGCTCTTTGAAATGCTGAATGAGATCCTCGCCGTTGTGGACCTGGTCATAGACGTAGGGCAGAGGTGGGATGAGTGTGCCCATTCCGGTGGCCACGATCAGGATTAGGTATACCCAAAAACACAGACGATCGACGACCAGTCCCACAACTGCCCAGTCGTTCGCCAGACGGGCTGTCTGGTCCTTTTTATTAACCTGAAACAATGAAAAAAAATGCCAAACTTGACATACACCCAAAATAGAGATTAGTGGTGCGGGTAACATTATGGTGAGATACAATACAATATAAAAGTAGAGCACGGTGATATCGCCTCGTCTTCAATTTCCAATTGTTTTGCTAATATTGGCGCAATGACCAAAACGCATGCGATTGGTTCAAATCGGAACATTTTCTATTGGGTCATTCAACGATCAGTTCCAACTAAAGGATCAAACATCACGACAAGACGACTGAACACACATGGATTAATATTCACTGACACTAGTGAAAGGTCATATCTAGCATTGTATCGTGACATACAACTGTGTAAAGGTGTTAGCATTATTGTGTGTGGCTGTTTCGGGAGCGAAACATTTAAGGGGGATAAGTTCCAGCCATGTCCTTATTTGTTCATTTCACGACATATTAACTGCTGTGTCCATTTTTTCAGCTCGGATAGCAGACCTTAACGAAAATTACCACTTGACGGACTTGAAGTGACCTTGAGTTGATCTCCAGGAGGTGGTCCTATTCTTATATATTATAATGAATGGAAATAGCATAGAAATAGGGCATTTTAATTCACGGATATTGGTAAATCCAATTCAGAAAAAAGGCAATTTAAGAACGCTATGATTGGTTACACGAGACCACGTTTCTTATTGGCTGACGCAGGTCCACAGTGGATTCGCTGCTAGTCTCCAGACGCAACTGACCTTTTGCATTAGGTTCCTAAGGGCGCGTTTTATTTCCTTCAAGCTTGATTCCAATTGCTTTCCAGCAGTAGACGAGGTCGTCAGGACGGTTTGACTGCCCGACGACTGGTCATAGTGTGTTTGCGTCTGTTGCTGGCAGTAACAGTGCCCGGTTAGTTGTCCCGCCAATGGAAAATCGGGGTTGCCTAGGGAGCCCTGGCGTTTGTGGCGTTCCTTGGCGAGGCGCAGTTCTATCTTGCTGATATCAACCTCGTCCGTTTGAGGTGACACTTGCAGCAACAGACCCGAATGCAAACGTACCCATTGGGACGCCATCCTGGTGAACTGCAGTATTAACAAGCAACGTATATTCCCTATTAAAATAGTCAGGCGTCCTACACTATCTTTTCTTCCTTACCCTTGCAAGCCAGGGTGGAAGTGGCTTAGCTTTGTCCGTTCGAAAGTGGATGTGGACGGCGATTAGAGAGAAGAACGTGGAGATGGCTATCAAGACCATGTTCAGACAATAGTAATAGCCTGGAAGAGTAAGCAAGCACATTCTGGTATTGAAAGAAAGGATAGCAGTGAGTTCACGGCGCCTCGTGGATCCATCAAGTTGCCCACATGTTGTGCCGCGAAAAGCTCATCTTCAAAGCCCAAAGGAACTACTGCATCGTGGAAGTAAAGGTTTGCAATGAAAGGTTTCCTAAACCTGACTACACAGTTACCCAGGGGACGGACGACTCAACTGAGGTTCTCCTACGTTTATGAAAATAAACGCAGTTAGCTATCTAAACAGTGTCTGAGGCATTGCCCTTAATGGCTACTTAAATCTGACGAAGCGAGCTAATACTGAACTACTGGGATTTCCTTGAAATGATGACCCTCCATGTAGAAGGGATTCTGTTAGCAAACGTTTTTTTTTGAGTTAGTTAGCAATTTATTCCCATCGTCATTGCATACGGAGATAAATTCACAATATAGTCTTTCGAATAGTTTTTTTAATAATTGTAAAAACACCTCTTCCTGATCTTCATTACCTTTTTCCGTTGATCAGTTTCGGGCTTAAGGGGTGTACCCTGGATAGGCCGAAGTGACTGACTTAAGTGTACCATTTTTTTTCAATTATTTTGCAAATTTGGCTTATGCAGTAAGGTTCGATTTCGTTGTGCGTCCAGCCAATCGCTGCTTGCGATTGACAGGACATTTGCACACGAGCGCAAAGCGTGGTAGATATTGAGAAACGGAGACACCTAAACTACAGTGTCATAATGTGAAGACGTGTGATTGGTCAAAACTTTCAATTATCCGCCAGTTTACTGAGGAAGGTCAGTGATACTCTTCAGGCTTATTCACAAGTGTTTGAGTAAGCATGCCTTATCTCCTGAGAAAACACTCCACATCACCAGTCATTATTTTAAAATAACCCAACCAATTAAAAAAATTGAAGGGTATCTGATCTTATCTAAATTTCTCGCCTTCACAAGGCGCGGCAATTAAATCTTAGCTTACCGAGGTACGGGATAGTGTTAGAAGCCGAAGGTGTGGACTGCGTGAGAAATTTCATCTGGATACAAAAGCCGACAAATATATTCATGCCTGGAAGAGAGAAAAATGATCGAAGTCACAAGGAGCACTTTTGGCAGACAGCATCCGCCTCAATAATCAATATTTTTAGGGATAGTGAAAAAAAAACAATGCTGGACACTCTTCCTAAGTTCTACGATCCACTCGAAAACCTATTATTGTATACGTATATCTGTATGCTGTAAACGCGATCACCTACTCTGCGTGTTTGGACACTTCGGACATACAGCGTTCGCAAATGAAGGAAAAACTGGCAAAATTATGAAATTATCTTGTTTCTAATGGTGCCAAAAAACCAGGAAGACACACAAAGGAGACGATAAGTCCAATACTTTTTTGAAACGCAGGGAGATGTATGGAGGAGTTTGTGCCGACTTTTACTGCATCACAATTCCAGCAATTTCGTTACGAAAAAAATATTTGGCCTTGATTGGAAGCTAGGAAAGCACACGTCACTGGACTTACCAAGCATCATTCTCGCAGGATTCTGCGGCGGCAGCCAGAAGGTGACGAGGTTCAGAACCGCCAGCAAGATGCACGGGAGCACAAGCAGGTAGGCGTAGAAGTCGGGATTGCGCTTCAATCTAAGACAAGTACAAAAATCAAGACTCATGATCCTGCTAGTGCATGTATCCCATCCGTGGCCAGTGACAATCGAAGTAAACGTGGTACGTACCTCAAGCAGGAAGTCCCCACTACTTGGAGATTAAAGCTTTTACCTGTGAAGCTGTGCCTTTACTGTCTCTTTGGTGAAGCAAGGTTTTCCGCGCGAATGATATTACTAGTCTGAAATAAGCAGCTTGAAGCCAAGGGCCTGTCACTTTGCTACGGATAGCTGATTTACATGATCAACTTAGACTATCCACCTCTGCAGTCTATTAAACTACCCAATGAGGTGAGAGACAACCAATTGTTTGCTGTGATTTTAAAAATCAACATTGACAAAGCATGCGGTCCGCGATAATCCCATCAAAATCATTTGGCTATAATAATTTCATTGACGTGAAGGTCAGTTATTTTTGAAAATAGCAGCGAACATTTTAATATCCCTCTAATTCACTGTCAACTGCGTGAGCCAATGACATACGCATTAACCAATCACAGCACAAGATAAAGTTCGTGCATAATGGCTCAGGTGTATTTTCAAAGTCTGCTACGAATCTAATTTACTAATACTAATAAATTAAAAGCGCCTTAGTTATGAGAGGCCCCACATCGTTCGGAGTGACGTAGTCGCCTTCTGATGTCATGGTGGTCCATTTTACCATGTTTTTTGAGAAATCTAGACGTATTCCGCAATCGATAAATCAGAATCTGGAAGCGCTAGATGAGTTTAGGTTAGTTTTCACTAATTAAAGAATGTCGGGGTTATTTCTCCGCAAAAACAGTCTCCGAACTCGGTTGGTAATCTTGTTAGCTGGGACTCAAATACTTGATTGGCGGCTGGCCACCCAAGCACTTGATTAGTGGGTAACAAGCAATGCGATGTTTTATGCTACGCGACTCACACAAAGAAGAATATGAGATTGGGGAAGGGTATTTCGCAGCAGGTCTGTCGAAAGAACCGACGGACAGCGGGGTAGGCCACAATGTGCCACTCGTTGCTTTCCTTGTAGTCGTCTAGGAGGGCGCTGTTTCTGCCGTCGAGGAAGGTGAGGTTGAGTCGGCGACCGTGCAGCGTCCACGAGGCGAACCGGAGGTAGCAAATTTGGTAGTCGAAGGGGAAGTGCTCAATCTGGATGCGACACATCGACTTGTAGATGGCCGGTGGACTCCAGAAAATCTGTCCCGTGTAGTCCACGGTTAAGAGGACCTCGCGCAACTCAACCAGACGTTCGTCGGCACTTTGGACGCAGAGAACACACGCATTCATGCACGGTCAATTTCGCAAAGCAAAGTACACCAGGCTAAAATTGACTCACTAGTTGTAGAGCACGATGTCAGGAGTCCAGACGTGTTTCACAGGAATCCGAACGTGCTTGATGCCATTGTGGTTTCTGGGGTTCCAGGTCAACAATTCATCACGCCATGACTAGAACGAAATACATGACACACACTGAATCGGGGAACATTTTGCACTTCGATAAAAAGCCATCTTGCTTTTCGAATAACATGTCAATGAATGGATAACAGAAAACGTGTTTTTTGCTAATTTTGCATCGCCTCGCAGCCCTGTGGACGACATGTCGGGCCACAGGCGCTTTAAACCGACGTGTTTGGCGAAACCAAGCTATGCAAAGCATGTTATGTATTGGGTGATCGCACAAGGTAATGTCTGATTTAAAACCTAACTAAATATAACAAATGTAATTATCAGCAACGCCTACAACGAACATAGAAACAAAGTCTCGCCTATCAAACTGTTTTTCAGAGAACGAAACAGATGAAATATCAGAGGAACGCGTAGGATTTCCAATTTTAATAAGTTTTTTGTGATGTCGAATGAACGACATATAGACTAGCGTTGTCATGGTGAGAGCTAGTGCCTTGTCCATCGATTGCATTTGCACATTATTCTCGGATTTAGACACTGTTTGAGTGAGCTGTTCAAAATACTTCTTCACGTAACAAATTGTTCCTCCACAACCCTTCCCCCTGACACTTTCATTGGATGTAGCAATTCAGCCTTTGCCATAGTTGCCGCTCTTTCATTTACAAGGTCGATTTATTAATCATTTATCATCGTCGTTAATGACAACATCCAAGAAAGGTTCGTCTCGTTGATGGGTGAGGAGGGAAACAGTTGTAGAGTAAAATTTTTCTTTTGAGTCAAAATTTGCGAAACCGTTTCAGACGTTTATCCGAACTGTTTTAATTGACGAAATACAATCAATTTGTCGATATTTAGCCCCTCAGCAATCGTGTCATTGATAGTTTGTGGCCGCTGATTTCCCAGATTACCGATAATGTCATGTCCACTGTCGAACGGTCGTCCAGGGCTAAGCATTTCCCTTGAGGCGAGTCATCAAAGCCTTAGGAGCGGGGGTACAACCCAAGTGAGCGTCAGGAACATTTGCTGTTTCACTACCGGCACTTACAGATGTTTAAAGTTAGTTAACATGAGGAAAATGCATTTTTTTAAATTTACCATTTCAGCAATAAACCTTCGTACAAGTTGATTTCAATAAACGCCTTTACGGTCGAGTCGACGCACGATGCAATAGGGTGACAGTCAGTTAATAATGCGACTGCAGCAAAAACATCTGCAGGATCTTGCCATGTATGAAAAGCAGGCACGATTTTTGCATTCACCGAATTAAACATTACATCACTTCTTGACCACGGAATACGCGTCTTCATTAACCTCCCCCAAAAAATGACAAATTTTTTCAAGGTTAAAATGATGTGGTTAATCATTAAAACGTATGTGACTGGTCTGAATAGGATCGTGCTCTGTGTATGCCAATGAAAGCTAGAATCAATTAGAGTCAAAACAATCAGAAAAGCGGGTTACTTCGGTTTAATGGAAGTCGCTTAAAACGCACAAATTTGTTCCAAACGTTGACAGTAAAGAGCTGGTTGGCCTCGTCCAAGTCCATTAGCTGGAACAAAGAGAGACCGAACTCGACATTCAAGGTCTGGCTGGTATTCCGTACTGGTCGCCCGATTTTGCCGACCTTCTCGTACTTCTCCATTAATTGTTTGATCAACATCTTCTCAGCTGAATGGAACTTGAAGTCTAAAAAACACGGTGAGGCGGGCCATTCACAGCTAAGGAATGGGTGGAGCGAGTGACGAATGTAATTAGGAATCATGGCTGATTCCCCAACCGACTTTTTTTTAAAAACTGTGTTTAAGTATAAACCGGTGGTGACGGAAGAACCGCCTCACTTTTTGTAGAACCTGAGTCCGCAGATTCCGGATACCAAAGATACAATATTGAGGACACGAAAAATGACATTAAAACATGCAAATTAATTACCTGAATCATCCGCATTGCACAACCAACAGTAATTGGTCAAAATGAAGCAGACGCTGGTCAGGATCAGGTCCATATTAGGTCAAACTGTTATAAAGTGAACAACAAAGCATTAACAAAATGAAATTAAATTTTGCCGATTATTTTACGTTTAATTTGGGCATCAATAACATAACCAGATTAGCATTGATTAGGTCCTTACACTGACATGTGCTCAATGTCTTATTATTCCTTGATAACTACATAAAACACAGAAGATGAACTTCGTACCTTTCAGATATACGGCTGCCTTCCACGAAACCAAAAAGAACTACATTCAACTTACCGCAGACTTCAGAACTATCGGTTATGAGTAAAGGATTCCCGAATGAACACCGCTGAAACTTAACTGGTAAAAGGTTTACCATAACCCTGTAGGCATTACTGAAAGCCCAGCCGCAGGGATTGTCTCGGCGCGCTGGGTCGATCCATCCGGCCAAGGCTTCCTATTGGATAATCCTACTGCCGGCAGCAAGCGTCAACGCAGCCAATCAGACGTCGCCTTGTAGTTGAAGTGTTACCGTTTAATCTTAGAAACGGTCCATTCACATGCGCACAATCCAAATTAAAACTTACTCGGTCAAAAATATCTTGGTACATGAAAGTTTCGCCTTGTGGTCTCAATTACGACGCGCATACACGCACGCAAACAAAGTGAAGGAATACATGTTGCATGGTTTCACGGCATTAACAACTAGATGTCCACTCGAATTACTGCTCTCAACCGATTTCACTTGATATAACTTGCCAAGAAAGTTTGTATTTAGGGGCAGCCACATCATTCAAGCAGGGGATACCAATTTACAGATACCCAATGCCACAGGTAGCGAAAGGCAACCCAGCTAGAAGTAATCACATCCACCCAAGTGTTCCATATAATGCCTTGACCATCGACACACACCTTTCAACACCGTGTAATCAAAAAGGAGGGGTTTTATTCAAAAACCATGTTTAAATGCACTCAAATTCAATCACAATTGTTTTGGCAACCAGCTTCGGAGAGTAGGAAATCAACAGATTCCTTCGCAAGAGCATGAACACCGTCTGTCGCTTCTTTGGTTCGCGTGAGGTCTCGAAAGGCGTTTTGTAGTTGAGCTGACAGTGAATTCATTGAATACGAGTAAAGTTTTGTGGCTTCACTGTCATCCTCTAGTGAAATCCAACAGAGATCGGCCAGGGTTGGCTCTGGAAGACCGCTTTCAGTAAATCCGATAGCAGTCATGGTTCTTGGGCGATTAGAAGCACTGACCTTCAATCGAAGGCAAGATGATGTAAGAATACACGTAATGTGGGGAACCATTGGTAAGTCGCCTCCCAAACACCGTAGAATCTTATTCATGCTAAGTTACTTGGAAATACTAGTATAAATAAGATAAATTTCGATTCAAACAGCATTAAAATTTGGGGAGTGGCTTTTGGATGTCACAAATAAAGCCAGAAACTACGTCTGGCATGAAACCCACGACAAAGAATACTGAGTGGCAAAGGGAACAAAAGAATTTATGCGTAAACGCAAGTAGAAACATAAAACTTACACACATCTGATTAAAAAAAGCTCTTTCTTCTATCAACCTTGAAAGACATGCCCAAGTGGTGCCAAAATGTCTTGCGGTTTTTGATAATTTCTCATTGAAGGTAGTGGGCGAATTCAAAACCACAGTTGCCGCACAGCATTCGCCAAGTAAAGAGCCATGCCTAAGTGTGATATGGTCAAGCCACTGTTTGAGAAGTGACACACTTTCGGAGCGAGTGACATTACCGGCTGGTTCAACCATGAGGTCAGAGAACTCTGCTCGCACAGCATCAGTGATAGCTACGGAAATAGTTTCAACCACCTAAACCAAACAGGAAGGAAATCGGCATAGTAAAGCAAAATAAACAGGCAAAAAATTGAAGTAGAACCTACTTTGGGAATTCGATAAGATGCTAGTTCTAAGGATGCCGAAGCCAGTAAAATATCACCCGCAAGAACCGCGAAGTTATTTCCGGATTCCATGTTTTTGAGCCAGTTATCACGGTCAAATTCAGTTTGTGGAACAGACAGATCAGCAATCGTCCTAAAAACACGACAAAATGCAGACACTTTCACGGTACAAAAGCATTTCTATAAGTTGCGAACCCAACCTGTGTAAAGCAAGAGCCAAGTTAATCGTAGCGAAGATGTTCCCCATTTTTCGATGAAGCACAAGTAAATCAACATCAATTTTTTCAAGACACAACTGGCCAACCATGGGAATAAGCAGGCTTTGTGGGAACATTGATGTTTTGCTTTTGGTAGAAAAAGCTGCTGGCCATTTTGGATACTTAATATTATTGTGCGGATTGTTTTGGAGTTCTGCGCATATAACAGGGACCAATTTGTGATTAGTCGTGGCCGCAAGACTTCGAACTCGGTCGATGAGGAGGGTTGACTCGGATTTTCCAAGTAAGGAAAGGTCAACTGCAGGTGCTCGACCACCAAGAAGACTCTCAGCACGTGAAACAATCGACTTCCAGCTCATCCCAGTCTAAATACGCGGAAGACTGTGTGCGCTGAGCAAATTATCTTCTGTGGGGTTCTTTGGTAGCAGGAGAGCTTCAAGATTGCACTCAGACCACGTGTGACTGCTGTTTGCAACTGCTTGTTCGTATTCCGACGCGATCCCCAATTCCGGCTCGGATGTAGGCAAAATATCGACGTTAACTAGTATATCTTCAAATGGCAAAACGTCCAGAACCCAGTTTGTATCCACAATGTCCAGAAATATACCTCTGGCAGTATACTGGCTGTCAGACATTGGATTGATCCAGTGGGCTACTTTGTATCACCCAATCATCATCAGATATTCACTTTTGTTTATGATCTCAACTTTAAGACTCGAATATAGGGTTGATAATAATGTTGGCATGCTGCATGTTCAAAAAAGAAGGAGAAACTGCATCAGCACTATTTGTCAATATATGGTAGAGGTTACCGTAGTTCAAGGGAGACTTAAAAGAAGAATCTAAATCGACGTGAGTTAAGTTAGGCAGAAGCACCGATATGCACCTTCACTCAGTTAACTCAGCCTAAAGTATTGTTACTTAGTTAAGCTGATATCAACGGCTAACTTGCGGTACTAGGTTGTTTTAAAATAACTCAAGAGGATGCTTTGGAGTAAAAAACAATACTCTCATTTTAAATTGCTTTTTCTACTGTTCTGCCCGTAGCAACCATGTCAGTTTCTGGTATGCTTGTGATGCTGTGATGCTTGTCACTAATACGTTGCCTTTAATTAAGTTGCACACTTGGTGACAAAGATTCAGGTAAACCTCATTGGGATGATGCAGCGACTTTAAGGTATAAGTAGGGCTCCTGGTTACGACCAAATTCCCTTAGTTAGGACACTCATAAAGGTAACTGCATTCCAAAGTTTTAATTTGGTTAATCAAGTTTGCCAATTGTCATTGCACACATGCACAATTCAAATTCAAAAAAAATAGCGTGTAACACTTTAGCTGAAAATAATAAGATATCCACAGAATAGGGACAGTCGTTTTTTTCTTGCAAAGACATTGCGTTAAGTTAAAAATTGAGCTCCCAGGGAATTATTGGGTTTAAAGGAAGTAAGCTAACGACCCCAAACTTCAGGTAATTGTTAATATTCAAAAATTAACAGGGCTACACTTGAATAGCGGTCTCAGATCATGTTTTCTCAAATTGTAATTGCCATTGCTGGTCACCACAACATCATGAATGCATATTAAGACCAATATTAAGATAATTAGTGTCAAACGTGGCCATAGACATCAGTGATGGAAGGTTATCCACAGAAGTAAAAATGTGCAGTGTTCGAAGCTTTGCCTGGTTCACACACATTTCTAATATTTCAAGACGATTTTAAAATGCAATTGCTGGGCTTGCTCTTGGTAATGGACGACAAGCATATGTGCACTAATTGCGATTTTTTGGAATGATAGGTGTAACGAGGAAACTAAAAACTGCTTTGTTAATCATTTTGGCGCAGCTGGGAATGCATAATGCTAAAAAATAGGATGAATTTATGCCACCCATACACTTCGAAGTTTGACAAGATTTAACATTTTCTTCTATTAGAAATCATTATTTCAACCGATTAACTAGTTACTCACAATTTGGTTATTATGTTTTTGGCATGCTATAATATTTTGAAACAGAGCTTGTCACGAAAACATATTAGGGGTTAGCACGAGGATTTAGTCGGTAATTAGGCATGCGTTTTAATTCATGTTAGTATTTGCTCACATCAACTTGTAGTGGCATGAAGAGTAAGGTTCACTGCAGATTCAAAAATGTTTACCTGCTCAGATTGGTTAACAAATGATTTAAAAACTTTTCCTAGTCGTCATAAAGACAGCACACAATCACCTAATCTTTGTTTAATATCCGGTTCCCTACTTTCTTCTGGATCTATTTAAGGAAAAACACAAATTGTTTGGGAAGAAGAAATAATGTTGATTTGACTAGACAATTGCATTCTATTTTTCCTTTATGGCTACCTTCTCACAGTAGCAGACTATTTGTGACAAGTACTTGGTTAATCTTCATCCCTAAATTGTTTTGATTTTTTTTATTGTGCACCGCTGTACGAGCGATGCTCATGTTACAAGCCATTTGAAATGGATAATAGCGGTGAGCACCCATATTGTTGCATATATTTGCCATTCAAGATCAATTGTTGAACACATTTATTGCCGCAATATTTATCCTACAGTTTAACGCGTAAATATTTTGATTCGTCTCAGATTATTTAAAGATTAGGCTCGGCATATCCTGCTTAATAGTAAAGCTTATTTTAACGTTGATTGGCTACACATGGCTTTTTTAAATTGCATCAAAAATATGTTCCTGTAATTGTTTTATAGAGAGAACTGCATGCTATCCATATTGACCATGCCGGAAAAATGGTGATAAACATTTGGGATTACATGGTTTTTAAAAATTGGCAGCAAAAATATATGACTCCGACTCTAAACATAAGACTCGGGTACTGAAAACCTGCGCTGTTATCTCTAAGATTTAATTTGGACACTTTGTTGAGCTAGGTGCTCTTAAAAAGTTGTCCCAATAAAGAATATTTTCTTTAAAGCTGAAATCAAAAAATCAAATTTTGCATAAGGAAATCTCTGTGCCTAGTAGGTATTTATATGCCATATAAGGTTATTCTTTATCTACCGGTGTAAAACAGATTTCCTCGCAAACCATGCAATGATTTCTTGTTCTAAAAGAAGTCAACCATGGTTAACGATTTGAAAAATCGCAAAATGAGGATGATAACCCTAGAATGCTTAATTAGATTAAACGGATGGAAAACTGCTCGGTAGTGTCGACTTTCACACCCGTGCTATCGGCAGGCTTGTGGTTAAGGGATATAATTTCAATTCGACACGAATTTAATTTATTAGAAATGCACCACCTGTGATCTTTTCATTGATTTGAATTTATCATTCAGTTCCGACAAGAACGAAGGTACTAAGACTGGTTATTTCAGAACATCAAGCCAGTCTGATTCTAAAAAAAATGATTTAAATAGCAAATTCAAATGTGGAGTAAGGTTAAGTCAGCTGCATCTTCAAATTTTAAATGCTACACAGGGGGCAAACGAAGTGCTATTTTAAGAAGACAAGCATTATAATAAGTGCTTCATTGTGAATATGTTGTTTCTGATGATACGTTTAGCTTTTTACAATCAATATTGCGGCCGAGGCACAAATGGATGATCGGAACAGAATAATTTTTTGTCTAATTGGGAGATTGAAAAGCTCATAGAGACTAGTGACAGGAAAATATAGGCCAGAGAATCTACTCCTATGCAGATATGCTTCAATTTACTGTTCAATACAGAACCATGGTGATCGATAATCAATCAGAAAGCAATAACGTTTAGGAGAGAATGAAAACTGGACAGGCTGCTAAATAAGTCAGCATGCAGTTTAATTAATAAGGTTTTGATTATAACCAGAAAATGCATTTTGCATAGGGTGCTGTGACATTTATTGCATTTGGACAGAATGTGTTTGAATAAACCACGAACATCTTTGACCAACGATTGGCGTTTTTTCATTATTTTACAAATGATTCCGTTGCGAGATGTTTTCTGCTCGATATATGGATCAGTAAGACTAGTACTGTTTTTCACAGATGTAGAATTATACGACAGAGTGGAATAGCGACATTCCTAGGCTAAGTGAATGCGAAATTTACATTACGCTGCCAACTATTATTTTTTCTTTTTTGGCAGTTGTTTCTCTGCCTTACCTTATTCTTCTGGCACTAAAAGTTATATATCCACGGAGGTGGACTGTTCTTTTTATGCTAAAACATGTAGGAAACATTACGTAACGCTTTATTTCACAGATATTATATTTCGCTCTTCTTGTAACATTATTTTGGAAATTTGAAATTATTGCGAACGATGCCAAAGTAATTTCTTGGACTTACCTCTATCCAGGCGCAATTAGTGCAGCAGTTGTAAGTTTTAATGTTTTTTATTAGTTTATTATATGCTAAGCGATACGGCATTTTCGCCTCGTAAAATTTATGTAGGTCCTTTCCTTTTCATGTTACACCTTTTACACTAAAAGCACAAATTCTGGCCCCTGAAGTTTTGGCTTAACATTCTTAGTGATGAATAATAGACTTATGGTTTTCAGGTGGCAATGCTTTTGTAGCAGTATAGGAATTGAGCTACGTCTTACCTTCAATTCACCGGGGCCTGATATTTATGTTGTCCTCTTTTAAATAAATCCCTAGCCCAGTACTGCGTGATAAGTTTTAAAAAGGGGCGCAATGTGTGTCACCTGCCTTATCTAGTCAACTAGTAGTAAATAATTTCGCGGTTGTTTAGATGAAATTATTAATTATCATTAATATCCATAATTATTCGACTGTGACTACCCACAAGAGCCAATTTTTTGATTGTTTGACATGAAAATACTTACTTATCCCTTTAGCTTTTTCAGCTACTGATAGTGAATTTAGAAGCTGTGTGTGATAGGCCAAGTTCGGGGGCCTACTTCCTTTGTTCATTCTTGTTATTTGCCGTGACTCTGGCCAGCGCCTGGACAACCTTCTCCTACAAACTACTGCCTCCATTCACGGTAGGTTTTGAAATGCCTGTCTCAAGCACTTTCTAGGTGACTTATTTGATAAGGTAATTTTGCACCAATATTGCAACTGTAAAGGTCATTTCTGATCTTTATGTGGTAATCAATGTTTTAAAATTAGCATGAGCCCATTATGGCCGTCGCTTTAATGCCAACCTACTAAAATTTAAACAAAAAAGGTGGTGGCAAATCTATCGGGTTAAATTTTTTAATTGGGTAAATGAGCTAATAAAAGCTCTGTTGTGATGCTTTTATGAGTTCTCTAACAGACGGAACTTTATGTTTCATTGCATGAACACAGAAATGATTACAATTAAATTACTGCACTAATATTTCTGTACACAATACATATAAGGTTATTACGTTAAGTTGCTCAAAAAATACAAATTGTTTATGC